TTGGACTTAGGATGTGTGGGAGTCTGAAGAATACCAGTGGAATCAGCAGTGGTTTTTGTTTTTTGACTTAGTTCATTTTCTGCTGCTCTAACAGAATACCACAGACTGGGTAATTTATGAAGATGGTCATTTATTTGATTCACTGTACTGGAGGCTGGGAAGACCAAGAGTATGTCACTGGAAAGGGTGAGTGTTTTCTCATGGTGGAAAGACAAGTGAGTCAGAGAGCAAGATGGGGCTAAATTTACCTTTTATCGGCACCCACTCTCTCAGAAACTAATCTGCTTCCACAATGATGGAAACCCCTCCCTCATAAAGTTTTCTTTTCTTTTTTTTTTTAATAATTATTTTAACTTTATTTATTTACTTATTTATTTTTAATTTAACCAGAGAGGGAGAAGGAGAGAGGGGGAGAGAGAGAGACAGGAGAAAAGGCAGACTGCCAGGTCTGGGACTCAAAACTCGGTTGGCCATGTGGGAGTCCAGCCCTCTTTTTTTTTTTTTTTTTCTTTTGAGAGGTTTTCACTATAGGGCACGTGCACTCACCAGACAGACAGAGAGAGACAGAGAGATAGAAAGCGAGAAATCACCCCCCAGGGGGGATGGCCAGGTCACAATCCCTTCTCCTCCCTTCTCCTCTCGGGATCTTGGGCACATATGCACATGCGCCCGGCGTGAGTTTAAGCCACTGGGTCTGAGACGCAAACCGCGGTCGACTACATGGGAGTCCAGAGACATAGCCATTACGCTAACTGCTGGTCCTGGGAGTCTAGCACTCTTATCCACCATGCCACCTGCCAGTCCCCCTCCTAAAGTTTTCAGCCTGGTGTAGATGTGTGAGAAGCTATTTTTTCTTTAAGTATTGATCATATATTTAATCATAGTATCTTGAATTTTATTAGTTATATTAGTTTATCTATACCCCTTGAATAATTCTTTTTTTTTTTTTTTGGAGAGGTTTTTGCTACAGGGCGCATGCACTCGCTAGAGAGAGCGAGAGACAGAAAGCAAGAAATCACCACCCCCCCCCCGGCCGGGGTTGTCCACGCCACAATCCCTTCTCCTCCATTCTTCCCTCAGGATCTTGGGCATGCATGCACACACACACGGCGTGAGTTTAAACCACCAGGTCCGGGACTCGAACCGCAGTCGACTACATGGGAGTTCAGCGACATAGCCATTACGCTAACTGCTGGTCCTCCCCTTGAATAAGTCTATCTCAAACTTTCCATTTACTTATGTCTTTCTTCCTGTTTGAGAATATTAACTAAAACCTCAAATATAATAATGAATGGTAGTAGTGGAAGTAGGTTTTATCTTTTTCTTAACTTTCAAGGGAATGTTTGCTTCATCACTAGGTATGATGCTTGCTATAAGATGTGGTAAATACTGTATCAGGAAGTTTTCCTTTTTTCTTCACTCTCAAAGACATTTTAGTAGGAATGGGTATTAAATTTTATATAGTACACATTTCAGCATAAGATGAATCATGGTCTCCATTTATTTTAATCATATAATATTATGATTTGTGTTAATGTTAAGGCAGTTCTATATTCCTAGGATAAATTCTCTTGGTGCTATTACATTATATAATGCTCACATATTGTATTTTGGATTTTTGCTTCTATGTTCATAAGTGAGATTCGTTTCTATTTTGGGGGGTCATTGGGGGTGGAGAATACTTTCCATTTTGATTTATCAGGAGTATGTTGGTCTCAGAATGAAATGATAAAGCTTTTTATTCTCCTTTGCTCTGGGACCATTTCTACGACAAAGGAATGATTTGTTCTTTGATGCTTTGATAGAACTTTCTTGTCACTCTCGAGGGCCTGGTATTTGTAAGTGTAGATCTTTGACTAACTTTCTATGTCTTAGATCATGATAGGGCAATTCAGAATCTCTACCTAGTATTCATTTCATTGCATAGTTTATCATTTCCTTAAGATTATCCATTAATTTTAATTTCAAATTTGTATAAACTTATAAAGGTCTGATAATTAAAGTTACATTCTCTAGCTATAGCAGATCATCTTTCTAATCTCTATTGTTTGTGTTCCCTTAGAGAGCTGAAGATATTTAAACTGCAACCTATTTAACTGAAGACAACAAGAGAATTTCTGCAGTAATACTATAGCAACCATACTAAGTCTCATACAGCAATTAGAAGCTCAGGTGTTTAGGGATTTGCATATCTTGGAAAATACTCAAAATCTGAGTAAGAATTTGAATGGTAGGACATAGCTAAGAGCATTTTCAGTCCCCTGATGCTTCAAGGAAAAGAATAGCTAAGGGGTCTGAAAAACTGTGAAAAGCTTAACAGGGTTCCCCCACCTCTCCATTCCTCCTGGGCCATCTTATTTCCACTGGGAAAGACATTCACTCTTAATTTTAGTCAGTCTAAAAATATAGCATTAAAATTTTTGCTTGACTATTGGGTTACCAGCAGGTTCATCATAGAATGCATCAATGTCAATTCCTTGACATTTCAATTTCTCCACGCATCAGATTCCATCTTCTCTATTTTTCTTCAATCTGAATGAATCATCTATATCTTTATTTTCAGCCTGTTATCTGGGGCAATCGATGCCATTAATTTTCGGTTTACCTTTTTCTTAGGATGATAAAAAAGGTTCATCCTTTTTACACCCAGGATGCACTTTCATTTGTCGATGGCACCCTACCACGATTGCAAAATGCAGGCATTTATGTCATCTCTTCTGCTGGCTTTCTGCAGATCTCTGATTACTAAACTTTCGTCTTTACTTGGGGCCACGTTCTAGTTAATAATTTATAATTTTGTTAGATCCACTTTCCGTTGTTTGCTTTGTTTCAGGTATGTCAAAGTTTAGACACCTCTGAACTAAGCTTTATTCTGATGCGAGTATAGATATCCTTAGATTAAAATGTTAATGCATGGAATCAGCATGGGGCATGGTGGTTGGGGCACTGGACACCCACATGACTGACTATGGTTTGAAACCTAGACTGGGCAGCTTGCTCTCTCACTTCTCTTTCTATCTCTCTCTCTTTCTGGTGAGCTGTGTGCTCTGCAGCAAATTAGAATGATAATAAATAAAGCAAAATAAATCTTTAAACACATGTTAACACATGGGTTTTGTTTTGTTTTTAAGGTTTTTTTTTTCATAGGGTGTGTGTACTCACCAGAGAGACAGAAACAGTAAGGGAAAATGAGAAATCACCCACTAGGATAATGGCCATGCTGCAATTCCTTCTCCTCCATTCTCTTCTTGGGATTTGGGGCACATACACACATGCACCCAGAGTGATTTTTTTTTTTTTTGAGAGATGTTTGTTATAGGGTTTATGTGCTCACTGTAGAGATAGAGACAGAGAGACAGAAAGTGAGAAATCACCCCCTAGAGGGGATGGCCACATTGCAATCCCTTCTCCTCCATTCTCTTCTTGGGACTTTGGGCATGCATGCATACATGCACGACATGAATTTTAAGCTGCTGGGTCTGAGACTCAAACTGCAGTTGACTATGTGAGAGTCCAGCAACATAACCGCTACACCATCTGCTGGTCCCCCTCCATTGATTTTTTTAAGCCACTGTGTCTGGAACTACAACACAGCCAGCCATGTGGGAATCTAGCACCTTAGCCATCTTGCTACCTGCTGGCCCCAACGAGTGGGTTTTAAGGCTCTATCCATACCAATGTAATCTATTGGGAAAGTCATGCATATTTAAAATGGAATGAGGATCACAAACTTCTGAGATACTGAGTTATTTCTATTTTTAAATAGAAAAACATGAAAAAGGGGCCAGCAGGTGGCATGGTGGCTAAGGTGCTGGACTCCCACATGGCTGACCATGGTTCAAGTCCTGGACCTGGTGGCTTGCTCTCTCATTTTCCCTCTCTCTCTGGTCAAATTAAAAAAAAAAAAATCTTAAAAAAAATTTTTTTTAATGTCATGACTTTTCTGTCAACCCAATACATTCAGTTTAGATTTGTCCAGATGGTACACAATAAGAACCAAGTAGTCTAAATATTCCAGACTAGACCATAGCACTATTCAGTCAGGAGTCATGCTAATTAAGTTCTACTAAATTCGTATGTTAGTACATTGCAATGCATGTCTAGCACATAGGTAATTGGTACATATTATTGATTGAATAATTAATTGACATATATAAGGAATGTAATTCAATTTTTTATTCTCACATTTTTACTCATGACTTAAAAGTAATGTAAAATTGTGTTAGATGCTTTTTGTAGAGAGTGATTTTTGCTATAGGGTGCATGTGCTAGCCAGACACAGAGAGAGAGATAGAGAGACAGCAAACAAGAAATCATCCCCCACGGGATGAGCATGCCGCAATCCCTTCTCCTTCATTCTCCTCTTGGGATCTTGGCACACAGGCACACATACCTGGTGTGAGAGTAAGTCCTTGGGCCCAGGACTCAAACCGTGGTCAGCCATATGAGGGTCCAGCAACATAACCATTACACCATCTGCTGGTCCCTGTGTTAGATACTTTTAAACTTCAAGTATTAGACATGTTCAGGTCACCTTTTTACAGGGGTTTACTGGAAGGATTCATTGGAGTCTTAAAAGGAAGACAAAATAATGTCATCTGGCAGGTGGCATGGTGGTTAAGGGTGCTGGACTCCCACATGGCTGACAGTGGTTCAAGTCCCAGACCTGACGGCTTGCTTTCTCACTTTCCCTCTCACACTCTTTGGTCAAATTAAAATGAATAAATAAAGTCAAAGTAATTTTTAAAAATAAAAAAGATGTACTGTCAAGCTTTACAGAAAAAATGGACTATCATTCCCGTTCTTTGGTACTGACAGCAACTTCAATGACCTAACTGCAGCTCTTGGCTGAACAGTACTGAGTGTTCTTTCTGAATCTGTTTCTATTTCTCCTTCCTCCAGTGCTCACCTTTAAGAAGGCCTCTGCATTTGCTCCAGCTGCTTCTAACTGCATGTCTGCACCATATCACTACCCTCCCACCACGACCATCATGGAGAACAAAATTGGCCAGTCACAAGCCATTATAATGCACAGCTCTTAGGCTCAGCTCTCTAGTGCTAGCCCACTGTGTGGGCCTCTTGACAATCTATGGGGAGGACGTTGTTCAAGTCAAGTGATGCTCCCCCGTTCAGTCAGTTGTGGCCAGGGCAGTTAGGGTTGGTCATATGGCACAAAGAGGGCCACAGATGAGGCAGGTGCTCTGAGGCAACTTGCATAGCCCAGGGTTACCTTCTACTAAAAGCAGTACCCAAGGACTGTCTGGTGTCAGTATCTAACACCCACATCACCGTAATGACTTTATTTCCTAGTCATGTTGCCACATCGTCACAAAACATCTTTGCTGTGTGGATCTCGTTTGCTAGACAAGATGTCAATATCCAGTCATGTTTCCTAGAATCATCTTGGTGTATCCTGAGGAGACAGAAATGAGCCATAATTTGCTGAGAGGAAAATGTCATGTATACAGCATACAGCAGAGAAGATCAATAAGAAGACACTTATGAATCAGGGCTGAGGACTTTGTTTAGTTTTTCATATGTGACGTTTCTATAAATCAGAAAACATTTCTGAAGCACATGACACTCAGAAAAACCATTTCTATGAAATCTCTGCATGTCAGATTTTGCTGGTACACTTCATGAAATCATAGATAATAGTCTTTCTGAAATATAATGGAAATGAGGTTGAATTCCCAAAATAAGTGTTCAGGATAAATCTAATGACTTTTCTCAGAATTATGCCACCCTGTCCTTGTGTGAAGTAGTGGTTTGGTTCAAAGCAATGGCACTGTGAATTTCCTAATCGTGGGTTATTTTCTGAATATTCAGGGAGTTCAGCTGGACCCAGGCCACCTCTCTAGATCTGTAAAAAGAGTTTCAAAATTGTTTCTTCTCTTATGGGTGACATGTTTGCCAAATCAAAAGGACGTTTCTCAGTCCTTACCTTATTTGACTTCTCCACAGTCAACATTGTAAGCATCCTTTCCTTGTTATCTTTCGATATTAATATCTTGATAAACTCTCACAAAGTAGTCACCATGTGTATGCTGATGGTTTCCCAGTAATCAACTTTTTTTTTTTTTTTTAAGAGAGATTTTTGCTATCGGGCATGTGCACTTGCCGGGAAGACAGAGACAGATAGAAAGCAAGAAATCATCCCCCAGGGGGGATGACCATGCTGCAATCCTGTCTCCTCCATTCTTCTCTTGAGATTTTGGGCATGCATATACACACACCCAGCATGAGTTTCAAAGCCACCAGGCCCAGGACTTGAACCATGACCAATCATGTGGGAGTCCAGCACCTTAACCACTATGCTACCGGCTGGCCCCCGAGTAAGCCCTCAATCTCATACTCCTGAGAAGTTTGGGAATGAGAGGATTTTTTTTATTTGTTTTGTTTTGTTTTTTTGAGAGGTTTTTGCTATAGGGCATGTGTGCTCACCAGAAAGACAGAGACAGAAAGTGAGAAATCACCCTGCAGGGGGGATGGTCACACTGCAATCCCTTGTCCTCCATTTTCTTCTCAGGATCTTGAGCATGCAGGCACACGCGCTTGGCATGAGTGTGAGCCACCAGGTCCGGGACTTGAACCATGGTCAACTACATGGGAGTCCAGAGACATAGCTATTACATCAACTGCTGGTCCCAAGGGCTCTTTAAAAACAAAATAAAATGAAAAAGTATTATTTTATTCATGGTAACAATCACGTGCACATGCATGAGAGAGAAGCGTCCTTGACAGTTTCATCATGCTGGGTCCTCCGTCCTGCATCCTCCAGTTTATCAGGTTGTGGGCACATGTGTTTACCTGACATGTTTCTGGTCAACTGGGACTAAGGATGCAAACCATCAGCCATGTGGCCTCCAACACTGCATTTCAGTGCCAGAGCAGGCTCTGTTTCTGCTTTCAGAATCTCTCAATGTTTATAGGTTTTTCAAATAAACTGAATCTAAAACAGAATCGTTTTTTTTTTTTTACTTGCCAAAGAGCACATGGGCATACAGAGAGAGATGGGGGAAAGCATCCTTCAACTGGGCGTGGTCACACCACAACCCTTTCTCCATTTCTCAATCTTGCCGGGGTTTGAGGCACACACGCAAACACACACACATGGTTGCTGTGTTTGTCAAGCCACTGAGGCTGGGATTTGAGTGATGACCTGCTGTGTGAGTCCGGTTCCCTTAACAACTAGGTTACAGGGCTGTCCATAAAACTAAGTCTACTCCTGCTTCCCATCTCTATCTCCATCCCTCAATGGCCAAATTGATCTTTCTCTTGTTTCATCAGCTCTTCTGAGTAGGGGAGGAGTGGGAAGGTTGTCCTCTCTCTTTGCCGATAGGCAATCACCACCCAAGTTCTATCAATTTTATCTCCCATAGTGCCGGCAGGTGGTGCAGTGGTTAGGGTGCTGGACTCCCACATGGCTGACCGCAGTTCAAGTGCCAGATCTGATGGCTTCCTTTCTCACTTTCCCTTTCTCTTTCTCTGTGTCTCTGATTAAATTAAAATAATAATGATAAATAAATAACTCCTTAAAATATTTTTTATCTCCCAAATCTCTTTCCAATCTGTTTTCTCTATTGCATTAGGTTTGTATAATCTTGGCGTCCCATCACCAGAATAGCTTCTTTGCTACCATCTCCCTCACTTTCCCCTTCCCATCTTCTTCCACTCTGTTGTGGAAGCCATCTTTCTGAACTAATTATCTATTTGTTAAAATGTTTCGTATAGTTTTCTGTCACCTAAAGATAAAATCCAAATTCACTGCTTTTGCATTGGTTTGCTATTGCTGCAATAAAGCCGCATTAGAAACCATCTCACACATAGGACTACACATGATAATTTATTCACGTGAAACTACTCATCAGTTGCAGTGGTTCTGCTAATCAATGAGTTGATCTGTGAGTCAATTCTGGTTCATTCCACTTGTCTCTTATCCTCCTGGAGGTTAGCCCAGGCATCTGTTCTGCATGTAACAGCAGAGATCATGAGAAAGCAGACAGGCAGAGTCTTAAGTTCTAGCTCCGAACTAGTACACCATCACTTCAGCTTTATTCTGTTCATTAAAGCATGTCGTGTCAAGAAGCTAGGAAACATATTTTGAACTGTTAGTAGGAGGGACTGCAAGTTATATGGCAAAGGCATGGATATGGGGAGAGAGAAAGGCTGGGACCTATGGGAAAACAAACATACACACACACACAATCTATCTAGGGCCAGCAGGCGGCATGGAGTTTAAGGCACTAGATCCCACATGGTTGGTTGTGTGATTCGAGTCTCAGAACTGGTGACCTGAAGATCACACTAGGGGGACCAGCAGATAGTATAATGGTTATATTGCTGGATTCCCATGTAGTCAACTGTGGTTCGAGTCCTGGACCTGGCAGCTTAAACTCATGCTGGGTGCCTGTGCATACATGTCCAAAAAACCAAGAGGAAAATGGAGGAAAAGGGATTGTGGCAT